CCAGCAGACGGATCGACACGCCTCCATATACAAGTCGAGTCAAATAAAAAAAAAAAAAAAGAAAAAAGAAAAAAAAAAAAAAAAGAAAAAAAAAAAAAAAAGAGGGAGGACCGGGAAGACTGAACACAAGGAAAGAGAAAAACAGAAAGCAAGTGCGATGATACGTAGTGAGAAACAAGCAGTGGGTTAGTTTGACTTAACGATGGATGCGGCTGCGGAGAAAGAGACACGGGGCCAGGGGCCGCAAATCAGTCACAACGGTACCGTTCAGGTATGTTAGTACCATCTGTACTATGTTTAGTACCACGGGTTTAAAGTGGACGTGGTAATCGATATTGCGATAGTCTATTGTTTTGTCCCAATTGGGGCACCATGTGGAGGTGATTTATGGCCCATTTTACTACTTAAATTATCATGTACAGTACTACATCGTAGCCTTGTTCTCCTAACATAATTTTGATTATCCCTAGCAATGGTGATATGCAGGGGAAATTCAAAGGCTAGGCGAATATCGGTTGCGTACGGACAACAAAATTTTTTTAAAAAAAAGCAAAAAAGTTAAACTCACTGTGATAAGGTATCATGGGGGGAGGGGGGAAGCTGAAGCATAAATACGAGTATCTCGTATTGTGTATGTATGTATGTATGTATGTATGTATGTATGTATGGAGTATGTCCGTATGACATCTATGTACCTGTGAACAGCCAGATGATCCCATCAGCTCTTTATTAGCTACAAGACTGCTGTGACAAGAAATGATTTTTATAGGCTCGTACTCAAGTGAGCCACTACCGAAATCTGAATTTACTGTATCCGTATGATCCATTCTGAACGACTCGTTGTGCATATGCTCAACCCTTCACGTGGGGGTTTAAGGTGGTGCTTCGGGCAGCGTGGTATCGAAGTGACAATGAAAGAACTTGAGTACCAAAAGAGTTGCTTGAACCTGATGTACTGTACATGATAGCTTGACGTCACCACGGAGGCATTGTCTGTGATTAAAACAGGATTTTCGATCTATAATGAGGCTGGGCTTACATATATATACATATATACATCTGTACATTTATAAGTATAGTCTGTAAGGACGAAGCCCAATTGAACACAGAGTAGTACTCCGTAGTAGCTACCGAACTGGGAGCATGGTGCGTAGCTCGGTCCAAAATACTAAACTCAAATTGGTTCAGAGCGGTAGCCCACTAATGCATTCCAATTTCTCACTCTCTCTATTCCGTACCACCAACCCTAACACAAATAGAAAAGAATGAAGCATTTCTATAGATTCGGGTATCTAACGGTGCATACCGCAACGTCATTCTTCAGGATACCCAACTGCATAGGATTAAGGTTGTTGTCTCTTCCTCGAACCTCTCGAGCGAACTGGGCCGCTGGGTTTCTTCCATTGTCAATTTAGAGCAAGGTAAATATTCACAACTCTACTCGTATTTAGGGGCACAAGCCCCTTTTGTAATGTTGATAAGGATAACTGAATCATTGTCTTAGACTACGGTGATCTGGGAACCCGGACTAAGCATTAGAAATGTGATGGTTCGGGGCGGAGTTCGCCCTCGGAAAGAGCCTAGGTTGTATCCATTCCAACCAAGTTCAATTTGTACCTTCTTACCGTACCACTAGTACTCGGCATCTACTCCGTACAGAGTCTAACACATCCTCGTGACACGTGCTTCCGCCACATATATGTGGCGTGTCTGTAAAGAGCACCGCCTCGTCACATGATATAGCCTGGACAGACCCATGATGGACCCCAGCTGATGTGCCATCGGCTTCAATACACGTTGCAGCGACAACCAAAGTTACCGCCGTTGTAGTGGGCTTGGGCTTGGATTTAGCATCACATTAACTGCGCCGCTCTACTTAGGTATGCTTGGGCTCATATGTGTCTGATTTCTCTTCTGGACTGGGTTGACTGATATGTCATCACACTAGCCTTACAAAATGACCAGCTTTTAACGGCAAAGTCTAGTGTCGCATAACCTGCAAATGTCCGGCAAAAGGGCTCGCGCAGCCTTTGAGGCTGATTTACAGGCACAGGAGTCTCCTTATGTCTTTTACGGGACTCCTCTTCCGCCGCTGGATGCCGGCGTCCGCGACGATGGATCTTATGTGCCGATCTGGAAACAGGAGGTGACAGATGACCGGGGAAGGAAACGCCTCCATGGTGCCTTCACCGGTGGATTTAGTGCCGGGTGAGCTCACGATTCATGGATAGTGTTGGACAGCACACTAAAGGTGGTCGCCTCTTTCAGGTACTTCAACACCGTCGGATCAAAGGAAGGATGGACTCCCTCGACTTTTGTTTCCTCGCGACAGAACCGAGCAAAAGATGCTCGACAACAACGGGTAGAAGACTTCATGGACGAAGAGGATATCCGGGAGGCTGAAGAATCTCGAAATCTAAACACTACCGATGAATTTTCCGGGTTTGGGTCCACGGATGTCGACCCCAACCGCCGGGGAGGGCTAATGGACCTTTTCAAAAGTGGCGGTGAGACAATGGGAGTCAAATTGTTGAAAAAGATGGGCTGGAAAGAGGGCCAGGGCGTTGGTCCCAAGGTTCGACGCAGAGCTCATCTTGGCGACGACGCAGTCTACGGCGGCGGAGGCACTGACAAGACGTACTTGTTCGCGCCGGAGAATTCACGCATGGTGGCTTTCATACATAAGACAGATCACAAAGGGCTTGGGTTTGAAGGCGAATCTCGTCTTGGCTCCCAAAAGGCCGGGGGCGGCGAGTCTGATGAAGATGCCGATCCATTCTTTGGGCGGCGACTGACCACTCAAGGTGTTTCCAAGCGGTCAGCCCCAAAGGAGCCGCGGCGCGGGGCATTTGGCGTCGGTGTGCTGAATGACACCGGTTCAGATGACGAGGACCCATATTCATTAGGACCTCAGATCTCGTATAATCGGGTCATTGGGAAAGACAAAAAGAAGAAGAAAAAGTTGATAGAAGATGCAAAACCAAAGGTGGCATCAAACCCTCTATTGAACAACAAACCGGTATTTATATCCAAGAAGGCAATTGCCGCTAGGAATTCTACAGGTTTCAGAAAATGTCACGATGGCCGCTTGCCCTTAGATGGATTTGTGCTAGCGGACGGCGTCTCTAGCCTAACGATTTCAGCACAGGAGAAGAAATACGCACCCCCCGAGGTTCCTAAAGATTGGAAATGCAGCAAGACCCCATCAGAAAACAGGGATGCATCTAAATACGTTTCTACGGCTGAGGCAGCTAAAGCTTCTTCTTTAGACCCCACGTCACGAGCCGCACTTTTAGGGGAAACGCAACTTCCCGGAAAATCTATATTTGATTGGATGACCCCTGAGTCCAGGGAGAGGATCATCAAACTAACAGGGAAGACTGACCTACCGCCAGCATTAGGCGAGAAAGCTCCAGAAGGATACGAAATGTCAGAGGCGCAGAAGCGGAAGGACTTGTGGGATCTTGTCCCCAAATTGGATAAGCAAGTAGCCATTCAGGCTTTGACCCGAGCGGCCAGTGGTTGGATGCCTTATGCCGAGGATCCAGATAAGCGATCCCGATATCGAACTTTCCTCCAAGTCCGGGCGGGCCTCCGAGAAAGTCTTCCGGATCGGGTTTCGGGGTCGAGCACCGACGAGTGGGTTGCTGAGCTCCACGAGTTCGCTCGCGCTGCAGAGGTCTTCAAACCGATGTCCGGGGCCATAGCGTCGCGATTCACGTCTGCCTCCAGTGGACCAAAAGGATCCTCAGATGAGGCGGAATCATCTGCGGCGGATTCGTTACTTTATAACCCTGCCAAGAAGCCCGAAGACCCTGCCGTAGCGGCCGCAAAGATCGGCATGTTTGGGCCGATGACTCGGAGCAACATTTCGTTCTATCCGACGCGTCTTTTGTGCAAGCGGTTTAATATAAAACCTCCGGACCATGTGCAATCGGACCCCAGCGATCCGATCAAACCTTCAGAAACTGCCTCTGGGGGTCGGTTCCAGTCTGCAGGATATCAGACTACTGGGCCTAAGGAATTAGTCTCGCAGGAAGTTATGGATCAACTTCTGCTTGAAGCAGGCGCTAGCAGTGGCGCTGTCGAAAAACCTAAACCGATCGTAGTGGAGCCTGAGCGCAACGAAGCGTTGGAGGCGGAGCGACCAGGCGAGGAAATTTTCAAGGCGATATTTGGAAGTGATGACGAGGATGATGAGAGTTGAGCAACCAGATTAGTATTCTCTTTTTCTCACTGTGGTCTATTGCATATGATGTCAGATGTCTTTCAGGAGAGGAACAGAAACGCCCTGTACGGGGTAAAGCAATATATAATTTGAAAAGGGTCTAGAGGAAAAAAGAAATGAAAAGAGTTAGAAGGATGGATGACGAACACCTCAACTGCTGATCCGCGTGACAAGCATAGTTAGTAGAAGACGAATCACAATTAGATCTCCACAATGGCAAAGATTAAGAACCAAACCCGCAACGGCGTGGATGGTGGAGACCACATTTAATTAGTAGTAGTACTTCGTATTCACGTTCAACTAAAACATCGGTCTGGCTATAGTATGGATGAGAGGTTCTCGAAATCAGCGGTCAATTGAATTATAGAGAGAAAGGGAGAGAGAAAGAGAGATGAGAGGCTACCAAAGGCAGTGGTAATAAATGCAGTCTTGTAGTGGTAAGCTTTGGTTTTTTTTTTTTTTTTTTTAACGGCGAACCATCCTTTGGGAATTCCTAGCGTGAGGTTTTTTCAGAGTAAGATATACGGAGTACGGAGTAATTCATAGTATACATACGTATGCCTCTTACGCTTCCTTTTCCCCTCTCATTCAATCATAGAATTGAATCTTTTTTTTTTTTTTTCGGTCCCCCTCTTCTCCAGATTTTCCTTTTATAAAAATTCATCGTATTCTTTACACTCCCTTCTCTTCTCCTTCTTCTTTTTCTTCTTCCTCTTCTCTTCCTCTTTCTTTTCTTTCCCTTCGGACTCCTTTTCTGTCCTAAGCCTCTCCCAGCGCCTTGTTTAGAAGACGAATCTCCTCCTCACGACGCTTATCATTCCAGCTTCTTATCAGTCCATACCAAATACGTCATGCGACGGTTCTCGACCGTGGGCCATTAATTCCCCAGAGTCAGTCATACGATTTCCGCTCAGGTACATACAAACAGTACATTCCAAACGGTGTACCTCCGTTCTCGTCTTCGGCCCTTTTTCACTCTTCCGCAACTACGTCTCTATTCCCATACCAGGGCATCTTGGGAATCTTGAGCTTTTCGCATTACTCTTTCTGGCTGAATGGAGTCCAGTCTTCAATATCTACAAGATGGTACAGTCCTCCCCACTAATGCTAAGCTCTTTCTCTGTTTCCACCTTGCGCAATGATTGGTTCCCTCCCATTAGCGAAACAAGCTCCATCCTTGCAGACTCGCATCCCCTCCACGTCAACCAACTTCATCTTAAAGACCCCATTTTAGTGGCTCTATTTTGACCTTCTTCCTTACAGGGTTGTTGCTTGTCCACTTCGCGTGACAACCGCTCCGCATATGCAACCCAGGCAACCACCGAAGAGCGCCGTCCGGAAGCGTCCTCTCGTGGATTGAGTTCAACCGCCGCCACCGCTATCCCTTCTAACTCGGCGCGTGTCGTCATTCGGTCCTCCCCGGATCATCTCCCCCTAAATGAGAATTTCAACGCCCCTATCCGCCGTCATGTCTGGTATAGCAAGCGACGACTGTGGAATCGTGCGCAGCTAGATCAGGAGCGCAAGGAGTTCTTCGAGACGCGGGTGACGGGTAAACCTGAGATCTGGGCCGCGCTGTCTGCGGCGATCTCGCTCATGCAGACGGGTGATCTCACTACGGCTCAGAGCATCATTGACGCTGCCGGAGTCACGGTGCCTACGGGTGACTTGTGTCAGGGTGTCTATGATGAGCAAGGAGTCCTCTATAGGTTACCACAATGCATTGTGAGCGATCCAGAGAACTTGGTAAAATCCAACCTCTCAGAAGATGATTTCGACACCGACGACGGCAAGTTATCATTGGACGAGGAATCGGGGGACGAACTTATTGCAGACGATGCCGAACGTCGCAGAGATGAGAAGGGCAAGGTCAGCGAGCGAGATTTAATCCGCGTGAAAGCACGACTAAGCGATAGAGGCGGGCCTGACATGGTCGTGACTGTCGGCAAAACGCAGAATGTTGCTTATATCGCCCGCAAATTACAACAGGAGGCTGAGGTATGTCAAATCAGACATATGTTATATCTCATAACTAACGCGCAACGTTCCCACTCAGATCCCCAAAACACAGCGCGTAAAAATCGCCTACTTGGGCAAAATCCTCAAGGAACATATACCCTTAGTCGATCAAGGATGGAAACAGGGTAATGTGATCAACGGATTGGTTGTTGCACGGCCATCTCCGTCATGCTAATCGCTGCTCCAACTCTTCGAATCCCTCGGAATTCCCAGTCGAAATCCCAAATCGGAGATTGACACATTCTGCGAGAGATTTCGAATATTTAACGACAATCAGTATCACGATATCCCCTAGTTTATTGTTTAATTTGCATAATACCCCATATTTTCTCCTTTTCGTCGCCTAATCCCACTATCACACCTATTGCCCTTGCTCAGATTTACCCCCTGTTCAGGCTGTTTGGTTTGGCTGATAGCCACCTTCTTCCTGGCCACGGCTTATGTTAACATCACGATATATGTTGACTGCAGTTATTTCCATAGGAATAGTCTAATTAATTTAAATGTGAGTGCCTGTGTGGTATACGACCATGAATCTAGTCCTCGTCCGTTACAGTACCCTCTTTCTAGATAACAATGGTAGATATATAAAGGTTACATGACTGGATTATAACGAGAATGAGATGACCAATTGGAAGCTTAACAGGTACAGGGGCCTATATTTTAGTTTATAGCAATAGTACCTGTACGTGTTATGGATATAGATATAGGTAGGTGGGTGTGATTTGAAGAAAATTAAAAAAAATTAAAATTGCTCAAAAAGATCGTGCATCATCCGTGAATCGAACACGGGCCTCATCGATGGCAACGATGAATTCTACCACTAGACCAATGATGCTGTAGCTCTGAACCGGTAGGTTATCTGATCCATTACTTGTAAGACTCGTCTGTTTCATGTTTTATAGATTAATTAAAGAGCTTATTAGGATTGTATGTAACTCACCCGTTATCTATACGCACCTAATGTACTACATACACTAAAGAGTGGCTTAAATGACGATGCTACGGCATTCTTTCATCATATATTTCAATAATGTTGTATATTCATGGCATTTTTGTTGCGTTAGTATACATAGTTTAAACCTTGTGTGTGTATGAATTTATGAAACAGTATTATGAAACAAATGCAGCACATATATATCGCCCCTCCTTAGAAAAACACCATGATGCTTTCAAACCAACCTTCCATTCTCAGCCTCCCTACCCTTAGGCGTCGTCCCAGATCGTCTCCTAAATACCCGACAAACCAATTTCGCACCATTCGCAATACCCCGCACCAAGCTAGTGGGGTTATAATGCTTAACTCGGAAGAGGTAATACAGAGCAACAGTACCCATGACATTGAAGCCGATGTAAGCCCAGCCCAGTCCGTAATTTCGCCACCTCTCACTGTAGTCTGTCCACTAGTTAGCCTGTGGCCTAGATTCCGGTTGAAGTACTTACAGATGTTACTGCTGGCTAGGTATTGGTCGGCATTGCGAAGCTGACAGTACTCGCATCCTTGTGTTGCGCTGGGGTTGTACAGCACGCCTGGTGCTGACTGGAGATACGGGGCTAGGTAGTCACCACAGGTTGAGCCGGAGGGTGGGTTGAAGACGCTTAGTTCGGCTGTGTCACATCGGATTGCCCGGCCGTGTAATCCTGTTGCTGTCATGCCCGCGATTAGGTATGTTAAGGGGGATACTCGATACATGAAGATCCAGAATCCGGGGAGAGCGTTCGGTGGTTGCATGACACCATTGAAGGTGGTGGCCATGATGAATAACAATGTTGCGATGGTACCTCCTGTCTCTGCGTCGGGCAGTGCGGATATAATGAATGTTGCGAATGTCGAGGTGAACATGTAGAACTGGATGACGAAGAGTAACATGAGACCTTGCCGGTGAGATGCCTGGCTGGCACCGTAGATAGGATAATAGTAGCATGCCCATGAGATTACTCCGGCAAATATCTGGTAAGGTATCTCAACCATTACGTTGGCGATAAGGAACGCTGCCCATGAATATGCCTTCGATGGTCGCTCCCTTACTTCGTATAGGGATCGTTGGACCACGAATTTTGGCATGATTCTGATATCTGTGTTAGCTCGTAATTACAAATAAGGGCATGAGGCTGTCACATACTGTTGTACCAATGTTGAGAATATGGAAGTCAGCATAAAGGCACTGAACAAGATGTCCTGGAATCCCTGCTGGCTGCTATTGGGCTTGAAGAATGTGAAGCCAATGAAAAGCGACGAGAGGGTAGCAAGAAGAATCTTGGCCCATATGTAGGCAGGCTCTCGCCAATACTGTTGGAAGACACGATGAGTTACGTACCACAGCTGGTACGTAAACGGCATGGCGTATTCCGCAGGTTTTCCGTGACGGGTGTCGCCATCACTATTGGATGCTGAAGCTCTCTCTTGATAGATCCTGTCAATCTCCTTTTGGACATCACCAGATTCGCGGCTTTCATTCCATACGGCAGACCAGTCCTTTGAGGCTTTACCAGAGGCACCGGCTCCGATAATTTCCAGCATATATTCGGCCGGCTTTCCCATGTTAGTATGTTATCAATGAAGACGAAAGCATACACTTACATTCTCTTCCGAACCGCAGGCTCTTGCCCCATTGCCTTCAAAATAGTCAAGTAGAGTGCGAGACTGGTCGCCGATTTCTCCGAAATAGACAGTCTTTCCGCCCTTTGCTAGAAATAAGAGACGGTCAAACTGCTGAAACAAAAGCGCACTCGGCTGGTGAATCGTAGAAAGCACTGCTTGGCCATGGTCTGCGAGCTTCCGCAGGAAGGCTACAATAGACCAGGAACTCTGAGAGTCAAGACCACTAGTTGGTTCATCAAGGAAAATCAGCAATTCAGGCTTTGCAGCCAACTCCACCCCAATCGTCAAAAGCTTCCTCTGCTCAACGTTCAAGCCTTCACCCGGTGTCCCAACAATAGCGCCAGCAAAGTCTTGCATATTGAGCATCTCTATAACTTCCTCGACATAATCGTACTTCTCCTTCTTCGAGACTGATTTTGGCTGACGTAGGAGTGCACTGAACCGTAGCGCCTCCCTCACAGTTGTTGTGGCAAGGTGGAGATCTTGCTGCTGCACATACCCTGTTTTCCTCTGGAAGCTATTGTCAAGCGTTTTTCCGTCTACTAGCATGTCACCTGTCACGACGCCGATAGAAACACGCTTAGCGAGAACGTCAAGCAAGGTCGTTTTACCAGCCCCTGATACACCCATCAATGCGGTAAGTGTACCAGGTTTAACCCACCCGGAGACATGGTCTAATAGACGCCGCTGCCCCCCTTTGACAGGGATATCA